TCCGACGATCCCAGCTGAGTTGCCTGATCGTCAGAGGCTTTTAAAAGCATTTTTTTCTACAACCTCTTTGGCCGAAAAAATGCTTTTAAAAGTTAAAAAAAAAAAGCCTGATGATTGCGCGGCTCAGCTGGGATCCTCAAAGGCTTTTAAGAGCATTTTTTCTACAACCTCTTCAGAAGTTATAGAAAAAATGCTTTTAAATGCCTCTGACGATCCAAGCTGAGTTGCCTGATTGGCAGAGGTTTTTTTTCTTTTAAAAGCCTCTGACGATCCAAGCTGAGTTGCCTGATTGGCAGAGGTTTTTTTTCTTTTAAAAGCCTCTGACGATCCAAGCTGAGTTGCCTGATTGGCAGAGGTTTTTTTTTCTTTTAAAAGCCTCTGACGATCCAAGTTGAGTTGCCTGATTCGCAGAGGTTTTTTTTTCTTTTAAATGCCTCTGACGATCCAAGCTGAGTTGCCTGATTCGCAGAGGTTTTTTTTTCTTTTAAAAGCCTCTGACGATCCAAGTTGAGTTGCCTGATTCGCAGAGGTTTTTTTTTCTTTTAAAAGCCTCTGACGATCCAAGTTGAGTTGCCTGATTCGCAGAGGTTTTTTTTTTCTTTTAAAAGCCTCTGACGATCCAAGCTGAGTTGCCTGATTCGCAGAGGTTTTTTTTTTCTTTTAAATGCCTCTGACGATCCAAGCTGAGTTGCCTGATCGTCGGAAGCATTTAAAAGAGAAAAAGCCTCTGCCAATCAGGCAACTCAGCTGGGATCGTCAGAGCCTTTTGAAAGCATTTTTTTACCACCTCTTCGCCGAAGAGGTTGTAGAAAAAATGCTTTTAAAAGTGTAAAAAAAAATTAAAAATTGGTCACGCCCACCCAGTCACATTACCACCACCCCCACCAAGCCACGCCCACAGAACCGGTAGTACCAAATTTTAGATTTCACCACTGATTTATATTCCTTGCAGACGGCTGGTCATTTGCTTCCTTTTTAGAGGGTCGTTGACGCCACTTGGAGGTTTATCCGTGTCCTCAGGGACACCTGAGTGGTGCAGATGGGTCCTGTAGTCCGCAATGTTTTCCTCTGGAAATCCATTCCTATTCCCACACCATTTCAAGGATGGGCAGATTATCGACTGTCTGCAAGGGGTATAAATCCTTCCATTCTCCACTATTCAGTCAGAACTGAAGAAGCTTCTTGGATGAGAAGGGAAATGTCTTCAAAAGAAAAAAAAAACCAGAAAGTCCTGAAAAAACAGCATCTTTGGGACAACAATTTCAAATTGACATTTGAAATTAGAGAACAGGAAGATAAACAATATTTATATGGTATGGGATTTATTTTATCAATGGCTGGATAATCAAGCATGGAAATGAGGTATGAAATATGAAATAAATGTAATAATAAAATATATGAAGCGGGGTTTTTTTTAACGGGAGACAAGCCATTGTTAAATAACTGTTCAATGAGAATAATAGCATAAAGGGGTATAATAAATTCTTAAATAAGAGAAATTAAATAACGGATTAAATTTAACTTGTGAATTTTGGATATGGGGTTAAGCACAAAGAATTGTCACCGGATCGACACACTTTCTGTAATTGTAATGGGTAATAATAATAATAATAATAATAATAATAATTTTATTTCTATACCGCCCTTCTCCCGAAGGACTCAGGGCGGTGTACAGCCAATTTAAAAACACAGGACACAACAATAATTAAAAATTAAAATAATTAAATAGATTTGGCCAATTTAAAACCCCAAAAATTTAAAATACCCCAATTTAAAATTATTATGTTGATAGCCCTGCCTGGCGGAACAATGACGGATGACGGTTGTTTTATGTTTTGTTTTGTTTTAAAAATAAAAATTTAAAAAAAGAAAAAGAATTCCAGACAGCTTGGCAACTGGTTCACACTTATGACCGTTGCTGTGCGTGTCACATGATATCATTGGATTGGGCAGCCTTTTGACAAGCCAAGTCAATGCGGGAAGCTGGATTCTCTTAACAACCGTGTTACGTCCTGAACGACTGCAGGGGCTCGCTTAACGACTGCGGCGAGAAAGGTTGTAAAATGGGGCGAAAGTCACTTAGCACTTAGTTTGGGCTCAACTGTGGTCGTAAGTCGAGGACTGCCTGTACAAGTCAATTCAAAACTAAACGTGTTCCTTTAAAGGATGAGGACGCTCCGTCCCGCCGGGAGGATTCAACTCGATAGCCTTCGGACCTCAGTGGTAGTTCCCATCCGTATCCCCAATTCTCTCTCTCCCCCCTCTTAATTGGATTCGCCCGAAGGGACCAAGTCTACGCGGGCGAGACCACTCGCCACCGACCGATCTCATGTCCTCCCCCTGTCCTCACCGTCCGGTTGGTATCTCCCCCTAGAGGCTGCTAGGTAGGATTAGCCCGGCGCCTCTTTTCCGCTTTTACGACACCCCTACGGGCGTGTTCAGAATGGTCTCGCCCCGTAGAAAGTCGAGGTAGACATTTCCGGGAAAGACCACTTGGCGGCTTCCCGGAGGGGGGAGAAACTAGGAAAGGAATTGGTGAGTGCTCTGGATTTGTAGCTGGTTGTGCATTAGTCCGAAGGCAAAGGAGAAAAAAATTGTGCATGAAGGTAAAATGAGTAGGGGGGGACCCTCAGGCTGCCTCCCCCAGGTTTTGCTCGAGAATGTTTGCTTTCTGGGCCAATCCAAAGGTTTACGTGCTAAAGGGAACGTGTGAATGTTGGTTTAAACCTGTGCATGTTTTGCATTGCTTGAACAAGCCACCATTGGCTGAACTCATGCTTGGCCTTACAGCTGACACATGGTTGAACCCACAGCAGTGGCTTGATTTTGCATAAATGATCAAACCATGGTTTGCATCCTGGTTTAAGTGTCATGCACAAATCTAGCTACGATTCAGCAGATCTGGGGTTTAAGGGAGCCTGGGGTTTTAGCAGAGTGGGGCAACGTCCCTGGGGGTAGGATGGCTGCCCTGCTTGTGGGTCTAGTCCAGTTTCTTAAAAAAAAAACAAAAAAAACTGGATTTCCCACAATGCCCTGAGTGATGGGCAATGCATTATGGGAAACAAACCAGCTTCAGATTTTTAGATTAAAAAAAAAAAAGATGTTAAGGAGGCCAAATATTCCATATTTTTATTGCTCCTGAATTTCCCTTGCGAGGTAGGAAAATGTTTGGTGTGATTTCACCATTTCTTTTTTATTTATTTATATATATATATGTATATATATAAAGAAAGAAGCAGACATTCTGCGAGCTCCAGAACTTAAAATTTTAAAATAATTTTAAAAATTTTATTCTGCTAAACTTTCGTCAGCCATCTGCTGACATCGTCAGAGTATTAAATTACCATTACAGAGATCTCTGCCTTTATGGCTGACGAAAGTTTAGTAGAATAATTTTTTTAAATTATTTTTAAATTTTAAGTTCCGGAACTCGCAGAATGTCTGCTTCTTTCCTTACTAATATACCTGGAACTCGTATTTTTAGAATAGTTTGCATAAGATGGATGGATGGATGGATGGATGGATGGATGGATGGATGGATGGATAGAAAGATAGATATACCTGGAACTTGTATTTTTAGAATAGTTTTTATAATATGTATGTATGGATGGATGGATGTATAGATAGATATACCTGGAACTCGTATTTTTAGAATAGTTTTTATAATATGTATGTATGTATGTATGTATGTATGTATGTATGTATGTATAGATAGATAGATAGATAGATAGATAGATAGATAGATAGATAGATAGACCTGGAACTCGTATTTTTAGAATAGTTTGTATAATACGTATGTATGTATGTATGTATGTATGTATAGATAGATAGATATACCTGGAACTCGTATTTTTAGAATAGTTTTTATAATATGTATGTATGTATATATGTATGTATGTATGTATGTATGTATGGATAGATAGATAGATAGATAGATAGATAGATAGATAGATAGATAGATAGAAAGATAGATATACCTGGAACTCGTATTTTTAGAATAGTTTTTATAATATGTATGTATGTATATATGTATGTATGTATGTATGTATGTATGGATAGATAGATAGATAGATAGATGGATAGATAGATAGATAGATAGATAGATAGATAGATAGAAAGATAGATATACCTGGAACTCGTATTTTTAGAACAGTTTTTATAATATGGATGGATGGATGGATGGATGGATGGATGGATGGATGGATGGATAGATAGATGATATACCTGGAACTCGTATTTTTAGAATAGTTTTATAATATGGATGGATGGATGGATGGATGGATGGATAGATAGATGATATACCTGGAACTTGTATTTTTAGAATAGTTTGTATACTATGTATGTATGTATGTATATATACATACATACATACATACATACACACACACACATTTATCTTAACATATATAAGTATTTAGTAAACAATGTATTGTCTGGGTCATTTTACACACACATCATTCCAGTAACAATAATATTCTTTACTTGTATAGAATAGTATTCTTCCAGTTTCCAATTTATACCTTTATTGTCTAACCATCGATAAAACATGTTGAAAAAAAATCTATTCTGTATCTTCTTTATGCTTTAACGTTAACCTATCCATTTCCGCATCCTCGCACCATTTCTCACCAGGTTGTAAAACCAGGTTCCACCTTCCCTTTTGGCCCCTAACTATGTTTTTTAGCTCCGTCAAATTCTCTAGGCTTGGCGGGAAGATAAGACGGAGAGGAACTTGAGTCGCTGGGAAATTGAAAACTGGAAAATTATTCTTTTTTTTAAAATTGTGTGGTTCGTTTTTAAACCTGACATTCCATCCGAAGGTCAAGACTGCATTAAACGTCAAGTGGGTGGGTTGGACGAGTTAACCTACGAGGTGCTTTCCAATTTTGTTAATCTATGTAATCGTTAGGACTCTAGTTCCCATCATCCTCAGCTTGTCATCTGGGTAGTTGAACTGCAAACGTCACTGAGATTTCTCTTTCTCGTTTCACATTTCCTAGGACGCGCGATTCATTCTTCGCCTCTCTCTTTGGAGTCGGTCAAGATGGTGAGTTTTCTGTCTGGTCCTTTGATGGATCCTTCTGGATGTTTCTCATGGCTTCCCCGAAGTCTCCCATCCTCAGCTCCCTCTCTTTGGTTTCCTCCCCACCAGCACGGAAGGCTGAAGGTGAAGACGACGGAAGAGCAAGCCGAAGCCAAACGTCTGGAACGGGAGAAGAAGCTCCAACAGTATGTGACAGTCACCAAGGCCATCTTTGAGAAGGTAAAAGATGTGAAGCTGGGACTCCCTCTTCTGCTCCTGGGTGAAAAAGATACTGGAAGATCTTGTTTTTGGTCAGGACAGCTTGTCGTGTGGGACTTCAAAATCCTGGCCCTTACTCGGCTGAAGAACCCTTGGTGTTGGGATGGATGTCTGTCTGTCATCTCTCCATCCATCCATCCACCCATCCATAGATCCACACAATAGATGGCTCATCGATGGAGGGAGGGAGATGATAGATAGATAGATAGATAGATAGATAGATAGATAGATAGATAGATAGATAGATAGATGATGGATGGATGGATGGATGGATGGGAGAGAGAGAGAGAGAGATCGTAGATAGATGATAGCTGGGTAGGTGGGTATGTAGGTAGGTAGACAGACAGACACAAACAGATATTAGGTAGGTAGATATATAGATGGTGGATAGCTAGATGGATGATGGGTGGGTGGATGGACAGACAGATAGAGAGACAGTCAGATTTAGAGATGGATGGATAGATGAGAGAGAGATATCGTAGATAGATGATAGCTGGGTAGGTGGGTATGTACAGTAGATGATGGGTAAGTGGGTATGTAGATGATAGGTAGATATATAGATGATGGATAACTAGATGGATGATGGGTGGATGGACAGACAGTCAGATTTAGAGATGGATGGATAGATAGACAGACTGGGTGGGTGGGTGGATAGACAGAATGGCTGGATGGAGAGAGAGATGATAGATAGATAGATAGATAGATAGATAGATAGATAGATAGATAGATAGATAGATAGATATACTATGGATGGATGGTTGGACAGACAGAATGGATGGATGGATGGATGGACAGACAGACAGACTATGAATGGATGGATGGATGGTTGGACACGATGGATGGATAGACAGACAGACAGACTATGGATGGATGGATGGATGGATAGACAGACTGACAGACAGACAGACTACAGATGGGTGGGTGGGTGGATAGACTGACAGAATGGCTGGATGGAGAGAGAGATGATAGATAGATAGATAGATAGATAGATAGATAGATAGATAGATAGATAGATAGATAGATAGATAGAGATGATGGATGGATAGAAGACAGACAGACAGACAGATAAATATATGGATGGATGGATGGATGGATGGATGGATGGATGGATGGATGGATGGATGGATAGACAGACAGACAGATAGACAGACAGACTGACTGACTGACTATGGATGGATGGATAGATAGATAGATAGATAGATAGATAGATAGATAGAATAAAAGGACAAACAGATAGATATGATGGACGGATATGATAAATAGATGGATGCGATAGATAGATAGACAGATAGACAGACAGACAGACTGACTGACTGACTATGGATGGATGGATGGATGGATAGAAAGAAAGAAAGAAAGAAAGATGGATGGATAGATAGATAGATAGATAGATAGAATAAAAGGACAAACAGATAGATATGATGGACGGATATGATAAATAGATGGATGCGATGGACAGATAGGTAGGTAGGTAGCACTGCCCCAGATTTGGTAGCGAATTGCCATTTTGAGGCCACACAATTTTTTTGCCATTCTCGGGGGGGGGGGGGGGGAAAGCCCGAACACCGTTGTGAAAGAGCCCTGGGAGAGCTTTTAAGGGGCCTAAAGTTGGCACGCCCAAACCTCCGTCTGTCACCTCCGTCACCCCAAGAAAGTTCCAGAAAAAAAAAAAAAGGTCAGCGTGCCTTCCGAAGCCCTTGGAGGTATTCTTTTTAAAAAAAATTAAAAAAAAAGATGAATTGTTTCAAAAGGCCCAAAACAATGGCGTTGGCCCCGAATGGACTCAGATCGAGTAACCGGATCCGCATGACCTGCCAAAAAGTTTTGGCAACGATTCGTACAATGCAATCGGATTGTGGCTCCCGGTTGTTGTTTTTTTCCCACTGCTAGTGTTTTGGGTACAGGGAGACTGCGTTGTGCGGTCCTGCGAAATTTACCTGTTCATTACCTCTTCAATTGAATTTGACCAGGAATATAAGATTGGGATTGTTTATAATTGCGGCCAATTCCTTCTTTCCTTGCTTCCTCCTCTCTCTCTCTCCCTCTGTTTCTGTCCATCTTTACTTCTTTCCTTCCTTCTCTCCTTTTTTCTTCCTCTTTTCCTCCCTGTCTCCTTCCTCCCTCCCTCTTCTTCACCTCCCTTCCTTCCTATATCTACCTACCTACTTACTTTCCTCCCTCCCTCCCTGTATCTTTCCTTCCTTCCTTCTTCCCTCCCTCCTTTTCTCCCACCTTGTCTCCCTTCCTTCCTTCCTTTTTCCTCCTTCCCTTCCTTCCTTCTTTCCTTCCTTCCTCCCAGATTCCTCCCTCCCTCCCTCCTTCCTTCCTTCCTGTCTGATCCTTCCTTCCTTCCCCACTCCCTCCCTCCCTCCTTTTCTACCTTCCTCCCTCCCACCCTGTCTCCTTCCCCTTCCTTCCTTTTTCCTCCTTTCCTTCCTTCTTTCCTTTTTCCTCCTTTCCTTCCTTGCCATCCTCCTTTCTTCCCTTCCTTCCTTCCTTTTTCCTCATTTTCTTCCTTCCTTCCTTCCTTTTTCCTTTTTCCTACTTTCCTTCCCTTCTTTCCTTCCTTCCTTCCTTTTTCCTCCTTTCCTTCCTTTCCATCTTCCCTCCCTCCTTCCTTTTTCCTTCTTTCCTTCCTTCCTTTTTCCTCCTTTCCTTCCTTCCTTCCTCCCTGATTCATTCCTCCCTCCCTCTTTCCTTCCTTCCTGTCTGATCCTACCTTCCTCCCTCCCACCTTGTCTCCTTCCCCTTCCTTTCTTTTTCCTCCTTTCCTTCCTTCCTTCCTTCCTTCCTCCCTGATTCATTCCTCCCTCCCTTTCCTTCCTTCCTGTCTGATCCTACCTTCCTCCCTCCCACCTTGTCTCCTTCCCCTTCCTTTCTTTTTCCTCCTTTCCTTCCTTCCTTCCTTCCTCCCTGATTCATTCCTCCCTCCCTCTTTCCTTCCTTCCTGTCTGATCCTATCTTCCTCCCTCCCACCTTGTCTCCTTCCCCTTCCTTTCTTTTTCCTCCTTTCCTTCCTTCCTTCCTTTTTCCTCCTTTCCTTCCTTCCCATCCTCCCTTCCTCCCTTCCTTCTTTCCTTCCTTTTTCCTCCTTTCCTTCCTTCCCTTCCTTCTTTCCTCCTTTCCTTCCTTCCTGTTCAACTCCACTTATCTTAACACAGTTAAGGGGACCCCATTCCCCCCCCCCCCAACTTCCTTACTGGGTGTGTGAGGGGGAGAGATGGGGAGCGAAGGGGAGTTTGGGACGCCGCCATCTTAACTCTCTCCTTCAGAGGAAACTGGGACAGCTGGACAAGGAAGGCCTGGAGCTGAGCAACAAAGTCCTTGGTGCCAATCCGGATTTCGCCACCCTCTGGAACTTCCGGCGAGAGACCTTCCTGCACCTGGAGAAGGAGGAGTGAGTAAGGGGTGGGTGGGCGTTTGTCTGTGAAGGGGAGACGGGGGGGGTCTCCCCGTGGGGTCCACATGTCCACCCCTTCCATCTCCTGCCAGGAGCCCAGAAGAGATGCAAGCCTTGTGCAAGGCCGAGCTCGCCTTCCTGGAGTGCTGCTTGAGGGTGAACCCCAAATCCTACGGCACGTGGCATCATCGCTGCTGGGTAATGGAGCACATGCCCGAACCGGACTGGGCCCGGGAACTGGAGCTGTGCGGCAAGTTTTTGGAGATCGACGAGCGAAATTGTGCGTAGTTCCTTCCTTTCTCTTGCAATGCCACCTTGACTAACAAAATAACAGAACCAAGGTAGTCCTCGGCTTACGGCCACAAGGGAGACCCCCGCGTTTCCGTTGCTAAGCGAGACGCTCGTTCAGGGAACTTTGCCCCCATTTTACGACCTCTCCGGCCGATGTTGTGATGTGTATCGTCATACTTGTTCAGATTCTGGCCTCCCCCGTGGGCTTTGCTTGTCAGAAGGTCGCAAAAGGGGGGGTCATGTGACACCCCGGGACGCTGCGACCGTCGTAAATAGGAGTCGGTGGCCAAGCATCTGGAGTTTGATCATGTGACCGTGGGGATGTTGCAACGGTCGTAAGTGTGAAAAGTGGTCATAAGTCACTTTTTTCAGTCCCGTTGTAACTTCGAACGGTGACCAAACAAACTGTTGTAAGTCGAGGACTACCTGTAACAGACTTGGAAAGGACAAGCTTTTAGCTTGGACAGCCATTTGTCTGAAATGGTCTAGGGTTTCCTGCCTGAGCAGGGGGTTGGACTAGAAGACCTCTAAGATCCCTTCCAACTCTGTTATTCTATTCTAACATGTTGACCTGGCCTGCTTTATCTAGCCAGTTAGCTAAAAGCATCCGGTTACCATTCAGACAAACATTATCCTCACACAAACACATCAGGTGTTCAGTTACCCTTTCTCTTTCTTTCTTTCTTTCTTTTTCTTTCTTCCTCCCTCCCTCCTTTCTTCCTTTCCTTCCTTCCTTCCTTCCTTCCATCCATCCATCTATTTTATATATCTTTTTTTCCTTCCTTCCTTTCTTCCTTCCTTCTCCCTCCCTTTCTTCGTCTCCTTTTCCCTTCTTTCTTTCTTTCTTTTTCTTTCTTCCTCCCTCCCTCCTCTCTTCCTTTCCTTCCATCCATCCATCCATATATATCTTTCTTTTTCCTTCCTTCCTTCCTTTTCCTTCCTTCCTTCTCCCTCCCTTTCTTCATCTCCCTTTCCCTTCCTTCCTTCCTTCCTTCCTTCTTTCTTTTTTTCTTCCTCTCCCTCCCTCTTTCCTTCCTTTCCTTCCATCTATCTATCTATCCATCTATCTTCTCTACCTTCCTTCCTTCCTTCTTTCCTTCCTTCTTCCTTCCTTCCTTTCTTTCTTTTTCTTTCTTCCTCCCTCCCTCCTTTCTTCCTTTCCTTCCATCCATCCATCCATATATATCTTTCTTTTTCCTTCCTTCCTTCCTTCTCCCTCCCTTTCTTCATCTCCCTTTCCCTACCTTCCTTCCTTCCTTTTTTTCTTCCTCCCTCCCTCCCTCTTTCCTTCCTTTCCTTCCTTCCTTCCATCCATCTATCTATCCATCTATCTTATCTATCTTCCTTCCTTCCTTCTTTCCTTCCTTCTTTCCTTCCTTCTTCCTTCCTTCCTTTCTTTCTTTTTCTTTCTTCCTCCCTCCCTCCTTTCTTCCTTTCCTTCCATCCATCCATCCATATATATCTTTCTTTTTCCTTCCTTCCTTCCTTTTCCTTCCTTCCTTCTCCCTCCCTTTCTTCATCTCCCTTTCCCTTCCTTCCTTCCTTCTTTCTTCCTTCCTTCCTCCCTCCCTTTTCCTTCCTTCTTTCTTTCTTTCTTTCTTTCTTTCTTTCTTTCTTTCTTTCTTTCTCAAACTTACATAGCTGTCCTTCTCTTGTCTATGACTCTGTGCAGCTTATGAACAATTTTAGCCAATTAATGCTAAACGTTTTCCTGTCTTTCATGGAGACCTCAGGAACTGGAATTCAGCATGTCTAAGGAAGGCTAACCTACGGGATCAATAAAGGCCACATTTCTCAAACATGGCGACTTTTAAGTCGTGTGGACTACATCTCCCAGAATTCTTTGCTGGCTAGGGAATTCTGGGAGATGGAGTCCGCCCGTCTTAAAGTCGCCATGTTTGAAGAGTCGGACGATGGAGAGAAGGAGGGTCGGTGGGCCAACTTAAGATTCCACCCTTCTCTGTGGCGCCCCCTTCAGTTCATTGCTGGGACTACCGGCGTTTCGTGGTGCAGCGGTCCAAAGTGCTACCCGAGGACGAGTTGGCCTTCAGCGACAGCCTCATCACCCGGAATTTCTCCAATTATTCTTCCTGGCATTATCGCAGCCTCCTCCTCCCGCAGCTGTACCCCGATCCCCAGCAACAAGGCCGGATCACGGAGGAAATCCTTCTGAAAGGTCGGAATCGGGAATGGATGGGTTGGGGGGGGAGGCATTGGGAGGGGACCCCTAACCCTCCCTTATAAGAGATTCAGGGATTTCCACCGGTGGAAAGGGGGCTGTGCTCCCCAGGAGGAGAAATAATACAATACTGCATTGCCATGGGCTGGGCAAAATGCTCTCCGGATGGTTGAAAGGTGGGGAAAAAATGGATTTCAGTTTTATTCGGCTGGGGAATTCTGGGAGTTCAAGTCCGTAGGTGTTGGACAGACAAGATGGATGGATGGGGTAGGTAAGTAGGTAGATACAAACAATTAGATAATAGATGATAGAGATAAACTATTAGATTATAGATGATACTATAGAGAGAGGGAGGGAGGGAGAAACAATTAGTTTATAGATGGATGGACGGATGGATGGATTATAGACAGATGACAGATACTTAAAATTAGATGGATAGGTAGGTAGATACAAACATTTATCAATTGTCAAAAAGAGGGCTGTGAAAATATCTACAGACCCCTCACATCCTGGACATAAACGGTTTCAACTCCTACCCTCAAAACGACGCTATAGAGCGCTGCGGACCAGAACAACTAGCTAGACACGAGGACAGTTTTTTCCCAAATGCCATCACTCTGCTAAACAAATAATTCCCTCAACACTGTCAAACTATTCAGTAAGTCTGACTACTATTAATCTTCTCATCGTTCCCATCACCCGTCTCCTCCCACTTATGACTGTATGACTGTAACCTTGTTGCTGGTATCCTTACGATTTATATCAATATTGTTTCCTGATTGCTTATTTGTACCCTGTGACTATCATTAAGTGTGGCACCTTATGATTCCTGACGAATATATTTTATTTTTTCTTTTATGTACACTGAGAGCATATGCACCAAAGACAAATTCCTTGTGTGTCCAATCACACTTGGCCAATGAAGAAGAAAGAATTCTATGGGTGACAGAAAATTAGATGAATAGAATAAGAATAACTTTATTTTCACTTTGAAGGTACACTAATAGGCATACATTAAAATGAAATTTCGTTGCATCCAGCTTTCAAAGGGTCATCACTTCCACTATATATAGATATGACAAGATAGATAGGTAGGTATGTAGATAGGTAGGTAGATGATAGATAGATAAGTATGTACCTGTATGTATGTATGTATGCATGTATGTTTTCTGAGGTTTTCATGGGTATTTGTATGTAGGTCTTTGGTTATTCGGGTTTTCTCCCACGTAAAATTGGAAGTGTCTTGGCAACATTTCGACAAAGTCTCATTCGTCATCTTCAGGCTGGTGTTTTTGGCTTCTTGCTTCTAGGAGCAATGTGAGATCGCAGCTGTTTCTTCCTTTTAACTGCTAGTGGGGGTGTGAACTGATGTATGTATGTATGTATATACCCACATATATGACACAGATAATAGATGAGAGAGAGAGAGAGAGATAAGATATTAGATTTTAGATAATAGAAAAGAATAGAATAGAATTCTTTATTGGCCAAGTGTGATTCGACACACAAGGAATTTGTCTTGGTGCATAAGCTCTCGGTGTACATAAAAGACAAGATACGTTCGTCAAGAATCATGAGGTACAACACTTAATGATAGTCATAGGATACAAATAAGCAATCAGGAAACAATATCAATATAAATCGTAAGGATACCAGCAACAAAGTTACAGTCATACAGTCATAAGTGGTGGGAACGATGAGAAGATTAATAGTAGTGCAGACTTAGTGAATAATTCGACAGTGTTGAGGGAATTATTTGTTTAGCAGAGTGATGGCGTTTGGGGGAAAAACTGTCCTCGTGTCTAGCTAGTTGTTCTGGCGTGCAGTGCCCTATAGCGTCGTTTTGAGGGTGGGAGTTGAAACAGTTTATGTCCAGGATGCGAGGGGTCTGTAGATATTTTCACAGCCCTCTTTTCAACTCGTGCAGTATACAGGTCGTCAATGGAAGGTAGGTTGGTAGTAATTGCTTTTTTCTGCAGTTCTAATGATCCTCTGAAGTCTCTGTCTGTCTTGTTGGGTTGCAAAGCCAAACCAGACAGTTATGGAGGTGCAGATGAGAGACTCCATCATTCCTCTGTAGCAGCTCCTTGGGCAGTTTTACAGAATTAAATTCTGCATTAAATACAGAATTAGATCTAGAAAGAGGGAGAGATAAAACAATTAGATAGTTTATAGATAATACAGAATTACAGATGGGTGGGTGGATGATAGGCAGGCAGGCAGACAGGCAGACACAGACAATTAGATAGATAAAGTTGAACTCCAAAGATTTTAAAAAGTAGATGAGATTGAGGATCTGGCCTAACGAAATGGCCCATCCATTTTCCCTCGCTGCTTGCTGCTTCTCCTCAAAAAGGCGAACAAATCGTATTTCTTAACTGCTGTTCTCTTCTCTCTCGATCATCACCTCACCTCATTTTTGCTGCTTTTTTTGCCCTTTCTTTCTTTCTTCCTTTGTTCCTTCTTTCTTTCCTTCCTTCCTTCTCTCTTTCTTTCCTTCCTTCTTTCTTTTTCTTTCTTTCTTTCTTCCCTTCTTTCTTTCTCTTTCTTTCTTTCTTTCCTTCCTTCTCTCTTTCTTTCCTTCCTTCCTTCCTTCCTTTCTTTCCTTTCTTCCTTCTCTCTTTCCTTCCTTCCTTCCTTCTTTCCTTCCTTCATTCCTTCTCTCTTTCCTTCCTTCCTTCCCTTCCCTTCCTTTCCTTCCTTCCTTCTTTCTCTTTCTTTCTTTCCTTCCTCCCTTCGTTCCTTCTTTCTTTCCTTTCTTCATTCCTTCTCTCTTTCCTTCCTTCCTTCCCTTCCTTCCTTCCTTCTTTCTTTCCTTTCTTCATTCCTTCTCTCTTTCCTTCCTTCCTTCCCTTCCTTCCTTCCTTCTTTCTTTCCTTTCTTCATTCCTTCTCTCTTTCCTTCCTTCCTTCCCTTCCTTCCTTCCTTCTTTCTTTCCTTTCTTCCTTCTTTCTCTTTCCTTCCTTCCTTCTTTCTTTCTTTCCTTCCTTCCTTCTTTCTTTCTTTCTTTCCTTCTTTCCTTCCTTCCTCTGTTCCTTCTTTCTTTCCTTCCTTCCTTCTTTCTTTCTCTTTCTTTCCTTCTTTCTTTCTTTCTTTCTTTCTTTTTCAAATTTTGAGTTCTCTGGAAGCCGTATGTGGTTGAAGGCTCCATGCCAGCCGTGATTGCCGAACCCTCCCAAAAAAGCAGCCGATCTTAATCACGATTCCCAGCTTTTGCATGGCTGCGCCGTTCCCTTCCTCCTTCCTCTTCATCCGAAGAAACCCAAACTTTTATTTATTTATTTTTTCTCTTCGTGACGGTGCACACACCCACCCCTCCTTCGTTTAATTGTGCCATAAATCATCTTCTCGGACAGATTCTTTTCTCCCGTTTAGTTTTGAGTGATTTAATCAGATGTTCTTTTTTGAATGAAGGGAGGAGGGGGGAAAATCGGTTTTTCTTTTAAATGTCTGGCAAATAACTCCGGGAAGGGAATTTTCCCCTCATTGTTGCTCTCACAAATTATTTCTGGGAAGTGAAACGCATAGCTGAAATTCAGGGTTTTGTTTTTTTTTCTCATAAGTGTTTTTCAGGGAGGAGATAACTCCTGATTTTCTATGCCGGTGACCCCAGGTTCAGCCTTCGCAAAGGCTATTTTAACCTGCATGTTTTCCTCGCAACATGCGATACAGGTTATCCTCGATTTATGACCACAATCGAGACCGGAATTGCCACTCTTAAGCTAGGTGGTTAAGTGGGTTATACCTGATTTTGTGAGGGTTGATTTTTTTATTTTTGTTTTTTTTGCTATGGGTGTGAAGGGAATCGCTGCGGTTGTTAAGTGAATAATGTGGTCGTTAAACGAATCCGCCTTCCCCGATGGGCTTGGCTTGTCGGAAGCCAGCCGGGAAGGTCGCAAAAGGGGAAAATCACGTAACCCCGGGACATTGCGACAGTCATAAATACATGCCGGTTATCAAGCCCCCGAATTTTGAGCATGTGACTGTTAGGATGCTGTGACGGTCGTAAGTGGGAGGACTGGTCATAAATTGCTTTTTTCAGTGCTTTTGTAAATTTGAATGGTGGCTGAATGAATGGTCATAAGTCAACCTGTAGGGGTTTTTTTTCCCTTCCTTCCTTCTTTTCCTTCTTTTTCTTCTCTTAATTTCTCCTTTCTTTTTTTTTTCTTTTCTTCCTTCCTTCTCTTCTCATCTCTCCTCTTCCTTTTCTTAACTTTTCCTGTCTTTTTTCTTTCCTTCCTTCCTTCCTCACTTCCTTCTTCTTCTCCCCTCTCCTTTTCGCTTCTCTTCTTTTTCTTCTCTTAACTTCCTTCTTTCCTCTCCTCCCCTCCTCTCCCTTCTTTTTCGTCTTTCTTTTTTCCTTCCTTCCTCTTCTTTTCTTCTTCCTTTCTCTTTTCTTCCTTCTCTTTTCTCTTCTTCTCTTAACTTCTTCCTTTCTTTTTTCCTTCCTTCCTCTCCTCTCTCCCTTTTCTTCTCTTTCCTTTCTTTTTTCCTTCTTTCCTTTCTCTTCTCTCCTTTTCTTAACCTTTTCCTTTCTTTTTTCTTCCTTCTCTTCTCTCTTCTCTTCTTCTCTTCTTCCTCTTTCTTTTTTCCTTCCTTCCTCTCCTCTTCTCTCTCCCTTTTCTTCTCTTTCCTTTCTTTTTTCCTTCCTTCCTTCTTTCCTTTCTCTTCTCTCCTTTTCTTAACCCTTTCCTTTCTTTTTTCTTCCTTCTCTTCTCTATTCTCTTCTTCTCTTAACTTCTTCCTCTTTTTTCCTTCCTTCCTTCCTCTCCTCTTCTCTCTCCCTTTCTTTTTTCTTCCTTCTCTATTCTCTTCTTCTCTTAACTTCTTCCTCTTTTTTCCTTCCTTCCTCTCCTCTTCTCTCTCCCTTTCTTTTTTCTTCTTTCTCTTCTCTCTTCTCTTCTTCTCTTAACTTCTTCCTTCCTTCCTTCCCCTCTTTTTCCTTTCTTCCATTCCTTTTCCTTTCCTTTCTTTTTTCTTTCCTTTCTCTTCTCTCCTTTTCTTAACCTTTTCCTTTCTTTTTTTTTCTTCCTTCTCTTCTCTATTCTCTTCTTCTCTTAACTTCTTCCTCTTTTTTTCCTTCCTTCCTCTCCTCTTCTCTCTCCCTTTCTTTTTTTTTCTTTCTTCTCTCTTCTCTTCTTCTCTTAACTTCTTCCTTCCTTCCCCTCTTCTTCCTTTCTTCCATTCCTTTTCCTGTCCTGCCGATCTGAAACCCTCTCCTGATGGAGGGAGGCCCCTTGCCAGTAGGAGCCCAGTCCAATGGATGAAAGTGGAGCTCCGGTTCTCCTCTTAGCCAACCCACGCTCGAAAAAATAATAATAAAGTTTGCAGAAGATTAAATAAACAGAGGATAAGCTTTACTCCTCCTCCTCCTTTGGAGGAGAACACTAAAAGGCAATTAATCATAACCCTTTTCAGAGAAAGTGATGATTTCCATGACAAGGTTCCCTTTTAACCTTCTCCTCCTCCTCCTCCTTTTTTTCGTTCCCCTTTTCAGCCCCTTTCGAAATAAGCAAAGGAACACAAACCGGAGCGAGCCACACCTGCCTGATCTTGGCTTGGTCACGATCGAAAAATGTTGAGTGGTTTCTGTTTGGAAAAGCCACGATAGCAACCCGTCTTGGTGCCAACCTTGGCATCAACGGCATTGCACACAAGGCTGCCAATATTTTTATTTTTTTTTTCCCCCCCTGGAACATTTTTATCTGTCCGTTGTTGTTGGTCTGGGGTGCTGCTTTCGTTACAGGCGAGGAAAAAGGGATGCTCAGCTCAGGACAATCCACGAGGAAAACGAGAAAAAAAAAATCGGTGTCCGCCACCCGTTCGCCGCAGCCCGTTTGCCGCCGATCACCGCGAACGGGCGGCGATAGGCCGCAGCAGCGATTCCTGCCACCTAGAACAGCTGATTGGCACCGCACCAATCCCTCTCTCCCCCTCCGCTTACCGCAATATTCACTCTATAAGACGCACAGACATTTCCACCCATTTTAGGGAGAGGGAGTGCATCTTATAGTCTGAAAAATACTGTAATCAAGGAGAGAAGCAATGTAGGACTAAGGAGACATTTCCTGACGGTGAGCACAATTAGTCAGTGGAACGACTTGCCACCAGAAGTTGTAGGTGCTCCAACACTGGAGGCTTTTAAGAAGAAATTGGACAACCGTTTGTCTGAAATGGCATAGGGTCTCCTGCTTGAGCAGGGGGCTGGACTAGATGACCTCCAGGGTCCCTTCCAGCTGGGTTATTCTGTTAAATAAAATTAAGGTTCATCTCTCTCTCTCTCTCCTTTCCGGAGGGTGAATTCATCCTGCAGTTCAGTCTGGACCAGGATGGCTTAAAAGTCAGCTGCCATACAGGCAGTCCTCAATTCATGACCAAAATTGGAGAAAACTGGAAAATTGGTTGTTAAGTGGAACAGTCATATTTGCGACCTTCCCTGCTTCCCCATTGGCTGAGAGGATCACAAATGACGATCATGTGACACCCACTGCAACCGTCATAAATACAGGCGCAGTTGCGAGCATCCAAATCATGATCCCAGGATTGCGACGGTCGTAAATGCGAGGACCCGGTCGTTGAGTCACTTTTTTCAGTGCCGGAAGTTGCTAGGACTACTTCCAATGGGGCATTTTGGATGTGAAACCTTAAATGGATGCCTCTTCTTGTTTTTAAGCATAAATATCAGCTCTTTCTTGGCAGTTGCCGAGGGTTCCAATTCCTATTCTGATCCTGTTTTGTTTTGTTTTTATTATTATTATTATTATTATTATTATTATTATTATTATTATTGGTTAATCTTTAGTGAGATTCACAGCCTTTGAGGCTGGTTAATCGCTCAGCAGCTCGACTCCTAACCAAGGACCTAGGAACTGTTAAGGTATCGTCGGAGGATGTAAGCTGTTCCGAGTAAGGTGGTTTTTTGTAGAGTCAAAATGTTCAAGTCCGGCAAATTTAGGATTTCTAAATAGCGGGGTAGCCCTTTGGGTATTGCTCCGAGGGCTCCAGTTGCAATCGGGACAACACACGATTTCTTTTTCCACAGTCGCTCAACTTCAATTTGCAAGTCCCGGTACTTTGTGATTTTTTTTCTTGCTGTTTATCTTCAATCCGTGCATCACCAGGTATTGCAGTGTCAATGAACCGTACTTTTTTCTTTTCAACTATTGTTATGTCAGGTGTGTTGTGGACCAAGTGCCTGTCAGTCTGAATCCTAAAGTCCCACAAAATCTTGAGTTTCTCATTCTCTAAAACTTTCTCAACCTGATGTTCCCAGTGGTTTTTGCTGTACTCAAATCCAAACTTCTGGCACAATTTCCAGTGAATGATCTTAGCAACGCGGTCATGGCGTTGTAGGTAGTCAGTTTGTGAAATTTTGCTGCACCCACTGATCAGGTGGTCGACTGTCTCCTCTTTCTCATTGCAGAGGCGGCATTTGCTGTTGGTGGTAACATGTTGAATTTTTGCCTTCATGCAGTTTGTGGCTAGGGCTTGTTCTTGAGCTGCCAAAATAAAGCTTTCTGTTTCTTTTTTCAGTACTCCTGATCTTAACCAGTTCCAAGTTAATTTCTGGTCAGCTTTGCCTTCAATACTTTTCAAGTATTGGCAATGCAGAGTTTTGCTTTTCCAATTTTCAGCTCACTGCTCAATTACTTCTAATTACTTCTAAATTATTATTATTATTATTATTATTATTATTATTATTATTATTATTATTATTATTATTAGATTTATACGCTGCCCATCTCATTGTCAAGCAGCTCTGGGCAGCTTAAATCATCATAAAGGCGCAATATAACCAAGCCTGTAGTACAGTGGACTAAAGCACTGTTATTAACAACTGCTGCTTGCAATTACTGCAAGTTCAAATCTCACCAGGCTCAAGGTTGACTCAGCCTTCCATCCTTTCTAAGGTAGGTAAATGGAGGACCCAGTTTGTGGGGGCAATAAGCTGACTTTGTATAAATATACAAAAGTATGAAGGCTATTGCTTAACGCATTGTAAGCTGCCCTGAGTCTCCGGAGAAGGGCGGCATATAAATTAAAGCAAAAAAATAAAAATGAAAAATGAAACCGTGGAAAATATTTAGGAATAAGAATAAAGAACATTTTACCCAATCTTCTCTCTTCCAGAGTTGGAACTGGTGCAAAACGCTTTCTTCACGGACCCCAACGATCAGAGTGCTTGGTTCTACCACCGTTGGCTTCTGGGTAGAGGTAGGAGCCAAGCAGCCATCTTGTTTTCAGGGAAATTCGGCTTAAGGGAGATTCTGGGGAGGGGGTTGTTTTCCGGCTTCTCCAGGATAGGAAGGGGGCAAGATGGAGGATTTATTGCGAGATAAATGAAGATTGTCCCCTCAGAATCGTCTGTTGAGGGATATTAGAGGCTGGGAGACTGAGTTGGTGGGGTCCTTGGTGGTCTCTGAGCTTGGTGGTTTCCTTGGAGACATCTCATGACCCAACTAGGTAACATTATCAGTGTAGCGTTACCTACAAGCACTGATGATGTTACCTAGTTGGCTAATGAAATGCCTGCAAGAAAACCACCAAGCGCAGAGACTACCAAGGACCCTACAGATCTCCTCTTCCCTCATCATTCCCAAAAAAAAACAAAAAAAAACACCACTGCCTTCTAGCACTGATGATGTTTCCTAGCTGGGTCATGAAACGTCTGAAAGTAAACCACCAAGCTCAGAGAGCGCCAAGCACTCAGCTGCCCTCCTCCTCCTCCTCCATCATACCGGAAACCCCACTCCCTTCCGTCTCTGGAGATTCTCACTCATCCACGTCATGGTTGTCCCAAAGGTGCTTTTTCAAAATAAACCCCCAAGTGGCTTCAAGAATTCTCAGAGGGAGTACTAACGACCAGATGACTGCAAAGGAATATAAATCCTTCCCTCCTCCGCCATTCAGCCAGAACTGAGGAAGCTTCTTGGATGAGAAGTGAAATGTCTTCAAGGGGGGGAAAAAAAGTCCAGTTGCTTCTTGAAAAAGCGCCTTTCGGACCCATTCCCTTTTAGCGCTTTTGATGTTCCTCAGTTGGGTCACGAAACGCCTGCAATTAAATCACCCGCAGTTCAACCCTGACCTTCGAATATTCCGTTTTATTGACGTTCTCCTGAATTAAGAGACCTTTTCAGGCCTGGGGAATCTCAACTTTCGGAATTCCCCAACGGTTAAAAATCCTGGGAGATAAACTCCACCCATCTAGAGCACGCTTCCTGTACGGGAGGCGTTTAACAAAACCCATCTTCCACTCCCCTGTCTGGATGCCTTTGTTTCCCCCTCTTAGGTGATCCGGAGCCAACCATTCGCTGCGTCTACGTCAACAGGGAAAACACCTCCTTGGCGGTGGCCTTCTCTCATCCTGTGGCGGTGAGTTCCAGAGGCTCTCGAGGAAAAAAAAATAAAGATTTTCAGAAGCCCGCCAGCCACGGTGACCGTTTCTTTCTCTCCGTCTTTAGGTGGCTCCGGCGTCGCATGACCTGATCGTGTTCGGAGACGAGTCCCCGCTGGTGGTCCGTTGGCGTACGCCGGATAGGAAAAATAAACCCGGATATATGTGGGTATCTTTTGAGACTCGGTTGGCCAAGGATGAGCCATTGATGGATTTATGGGGGAGCAGAGAAACAAATGGGGGTGCTCTTTAGTTAATGTTTGCATAAAATATCCAGCCTCCCTTTAAAAATAAATCTATGCAAGTAGTCCTTGACTTACAACCATTTGTTTAGCGACCGTTCGAAGTTATAGCGACACTGAGAAAAGTGACTTACGGCCGTTTTTCACACTTAACGACCATTTGCAGTAACCTCAGGGGTCAAATTATTCTCCAAAGCACCAGAAGGCAAGACAAGAAACAACGGTTGGAAACTAATCTAGGAGAGAAGCAGCCTAGAATTAAGGAGAAACTTCCTAAGAGTGAGGACAGTTAACCAGTGGAACAGCTTGCCACCAGAAATTGTGGATGCTCCAACATTGGAGGCTTTTAAGAAGAAACTAGAGAGCCACTTATCAGAAATAGTATAGCTTCTGATTGAGAAGAAGGGGTGGACTAGAAGACCTCCAAGGTCCCTTCCAGGTCTGTTCTATTCACAGTTATGTGTTCAAATTGAGAAACTTAGCAACGGGTTCACATTTACGACGGTTGTACTGTCCCCGGGGGATCACGCGATCCCCCCTTTTGCGACTTTCTGACGAGCCAAGTCAACTGGGAAAGCCACTGAACAGCCGTGTCCCTATCTTAACGGCAGTGACTCGCTTAACAACGGTAGCAAAGGTGGTCGTAAAATGAGACACTTTAACAACTGGTGTTGCTTAGCCGTAGAGATTTCGGGCTCGGTTGCGGTCGTAAGATGAGGACTTGCTGCCAACGCAACGCACACTTGTCAGCCTTACACTCAAGGATTGTTGTGCGTCTTGCGGAAATCCAGGATTTTTTAATTTGCCTGTTAGCCCAAGGAGAGCAGAGTGGATTTAATTACTCTCCGGAGACCAGATTAAGAGAGATCCATTTTAGGAAGAGCGACGGAAGGTCGAAAGAAGAAAAGAGTTGGGAAAAGATTAAATCAGATTCTTAGGCCGTGTTTGTAAACCTGAGGGATGGACTACAACTCCCAGAATTCCCCAGCCAGCCATGCTGGCTGGGGAATTCTGGGAGTTGAAGTCCATCCATCTTAAAATGGCGAAGGTTGAAAAAAATATCACTTTAGGAGTTTCCTAAAATGGAAAAGAAAGATTCCCACAGAGTCTGTTTAGCAAGATTCCTGCCGAGGAATGTGCAGGATCCAAGGAATTCCAACAATGGCGATTTAATTACTATTTAGAACCCCTCTATGGTGTAATTTAGCCTACTTCACGTTTCCAACGAACAAGAGGCAGCTGTTTTTATTTGAATTTTCAGACTGGCTATTTACAGGCTAAGCATATCCCTAAAGTTGTTAAGTGAATCAGGCGGTCATTAAGCGAATCCGGCTTGACTTTGCTTTGTGGAAATGTCTCCCGTGGCAATCAGGCGACTCTGGGCTCCTGCAATGATCGCTAAACAGGACAGTTGTTAAGAGGGAGGCTTGCCCCCCCCCATTTTACGACCTTTCTTGCCACGGTTGTTAAGCGAAACGCTGCCGGTTGTTCAGTGAATCTGGTTTCTTCCTCGTTGGAAGGTCGCAAAAGGAGGAATCGCGTCACACACACACACACACACACACACACACACCCCAGGGAACACTGCAACCGTCGTAAATACAAGTCATTTGCCAAGCGTCTGAATTTTGGATCACGTGACCCCAAGGATGCCACAGCGGTCGTAAGTGTGGGGAAAAAACCCCATCCCAATAAGTCACTTGCTTTTATCTGCCATTGAGACTTCGACTGGTCACTAAATGAGCTGACGTAAGTCGAGGACTGCCTGAATAAGAAACAGGAACACAACGGTCGTAAGTGTGGGAAAAAAACCCATCCCAATAAGTCACTTGGTTTTATCTGCCATTGAGACTTCGACTGGTCACTAAATGAGCTGACGAAGGTCGAGGACTGCCTGAATAAGAAACGGGAACACAACGGTCGTAAGTGTGGGGGGAAAAAACCCATCCCAATAAGTCACTTGGTTTTATCTGCCATTGAGACTTCGACTGGTCACTAAATGAGCTGACGTAAGTCGAGGACTGCCTGAATACGAAACGGGGAAGCCGGGCAGCTGTTTTTGCCATTTTCCAGAATTCTGGTTTGTTTGTTTGTTTTCCTTAAATCCGGCCACTTTTCCAGCTGTGTGACTTGCCAACCTCTGCCCTCAACGACCACTGGCCTCAACACACTTTTCGCGTCCTCTGGGCTGAAGGACACGTGCAGAAGGAATGCGTCCTCTTCAAAGGTGATGCGACCGCACCCCCTGTCCCGTCCCGTCCCCCCCAATTTTCCTGCGTCCGCAGCCGGACCCCTGACCTCCCCCCCCCCCTCTCTTCCCCTCCCAGGCCACAAGGACTGCTGGAACCAGGATTCGGTGACGGAGGAACAGGTGTTCAGGTAAGGGAGACGGCCAAAATCTCGGGATGGGGGGGGGGGTGTCTTGGGCTGGGTTCACACAACACCTATACTGGAGAAGCGACTTGGGGGGGTTTCGGCCAAAGATGCAGGCCAGAGTTCATCGGATGGAGCGTCAAGGAAAGGAGGCGAATGATTGACAAAAGGAAAGCCGATTGGTGTCTCAGCAGATAGGGCTAGGGAATTCTGGGAGTTGAAGTCCACCCAATGCTGGTTGGAGAACCATGGGAGTTGAAGTCCACCCAATGCTGGCTAGGGAATTCTGGGAGTTGAAGTCCACCAAATGCTGGCTAATGCTGGCTGTTCACCGCCCTGAGTCCTTCGGGAGAAGGGCGGTATACAAATATAGTTAAAACTAAAACTAAAACTAAACTAATGAATTCTGGGAGTTGAAGTCCAAATGCTGGCTAGGGAATTCTGGGAGTTGAAGTCCACCAAATGCTGGCTGGGGAATTCTGGGAGTTGAAGTCCAAATGCTGGCTAAGGAATTCTGGGAATTGAAGTCCACCAAATGCTGGTTGGAGAATTCTGGGAGTTGAAGTCCACCAAATGCTGGCTAGGGAATTCTGGGAGTTAAAGTCCAAATGCTGGCTGGGGAATTCTGGGAGTTGAAATCCAAATGCTGGCTAGGGAATTCTGGGAGTTGAAGTCCACCCAACGTTGGTTGGAGAATTCTGGGAGTTGAAGTCCACCCAATGCTCGCTAGGGAACTCTGGGAGTTGTAGTCCACCCACCTTAAAGTTGCTGCGTTGTGAGAAACACCGCTTTAGGATACAAATCCTCTCAATGCCGATTTGACGCCCTGGTTTTACTTGATGGAGAAAAGAGGCATGTTAATCTCTACTTAGCACCTCAGACGCTTCTGTGGGGAAGACAGGTAGCTAATCCCCGTGTAACACGCCTCAGTCACCGCAGCAAATCTTGGCAACGCACAAGAGCAAAGAGAGAAAGCGCGAGAGGCCCGTCCTTCAAGAGCGCGACTCAAACACGTTGGGCAACAACCTACACATCCATCGGTTGACCCTACAGGTAGTCCTCGACTTACAACCACGGCGGAGCCCCAAATTTCTGTGGTTGAGGGAGACCGTTGTTAAACGGGTTTTTGACCCATTTTACGACCTTTCTTGCCACCGTTGTTAAGTGGACCGCTGCAGTCGTTAAGTGAGTCACACGGTTGTTAAGTGAATCCGGCTTCCCCTTGCTCGTCGGAAGGTCGCCAGAGGGGATCGCGTGACACACACACACCCCACCGGGACGTTGCGACCGTCGTAAATATGAGTCCGTGGCCAATTGCCTGAATTTTGAACCCGTGACACCCTGGGGAGGCTGCAACGCTTGTTAAGTGTGAAAAACAGTCATAAGTCACGTTTTTCTGTGCCGTCATAACTGGGGACGGTCGCTAAGCGAACTGTTGTAAGTCAAGGACTACCTGTATATCTCGTATTTCAAGTAAGAGCATAACGTGGCCGATGGAGCACTCCTTTCTCCATTCTGCCCAAACACGCAGCTCCCTGCCAGGTTTTTAGCAATAGGAAAGGGAGGAAGGAGAGAAGGAAGGGAAGGAAAATGGAAAAGAGGAAAGGAAAGAGCATGGGGAGAGGGAAGGAAGGAAGGAAAAAAGGAAACAGGAAGGAAGGAGCATGGGGAGGGAGGGAAGGAAGGGGGAAATGGAAGGAAAGAGGGAAGGAAGGAAATAAAGGCAGGAAAGAGAAAGGAAGGAAAGCATGGAGAGGGAGGTAAGGGATAAAGGAAGGAAGGAAGGGGAAAAGGGAAAGGAAGGAAGGGAGAAAGGAAGGAAAGAAAGAAAAGGAAGGAAGGAAGGAGCATGGGGAGGGAGGGAAGGAAGGAAAATGGAAAGAAGAAAAAGGAAAGAGGAAGAAAGGGAGAAAGGAAGAAAAGAGCATGGGTAGGGAGGGAAGGAAGAAAGGAAAAGGAAGAAAAGAAAAGGAAGGAAATCATGGGGAGGGAGGGAAGGAAGAAAGGAAGGGGAAAAGGGAAAGGAAGGAAGGGAGAAAGCAAAGGAAGGAACATGGGGAGGGAGGGAAGGAAGGGGAAAAAGGAAGGAAAATGGATAGAGTAAGGAAAGGAAGGAGCATGGGGAGGGAGGGAAGGAAGGAAGGAAGAGAAGAAGAAAGGAAGGGGAAAATGGCAGGAAAGAGGAAGGAAGGGAAACGATTCCAGTTTTCTCCCATCATCACCCCCTTCTCCACCCAACCACCTCGCTTCCCTTTTCCGTTCTCGGGGCATCCAGAGCCCGTTCTCAGGGCTCCAGGGCGGACCGAGATCTTGCCGTGAGCTGGCCAAAGGGGAAACTCGAGTCAGCCGGAGGTGATTTATGGGCCAACCCAGTTTTACGGGCACGCGTCAGCCGAGGAAGCGCTGAGCCCTGCCTGACTCACCGGAGGAAAACCGATCCACCAGGGTTAACAGGTTGGGAGATGCGCTCACCGCGTCGCGGTGCCTGATGTCAGTGGGGGAAGGAGGAAGGGTCAACCGGTTCGGATTAGGGGTCCTTCCCCCCCAGCAATGTTGCACTGAATAATGGGGGGGGCATAGACAGGGGCATTGTTGCAGGCCAGTTCAAGTAGTTCAAAATGGGGGGGAGGGTTTCTGGCAGGGAGGGGGGGAGGGTTTTTCCCCCTCGGCAACCTTGAGATGGGTGGACTTCGACTCCGAGAATTCCCCCCAGCCAGCCTGTTTCAAGGCCCAGAATCCCCCCTGAGGGGTGGGCTCCAATGGAAGCTTTTCTCTCTCTCTCTGTTGGTTTTCTGCGAATAGCAAGGATGCGTTGGGTGATTTTTGCAGGGTCTTTCAGAAGGGGATTTATCTGTTTTATTACCCGTTTAATTGCCTTCTGATCAGCCGTTGGGTGAACGAGGGGGAAGAGAGGGGGGGTTCGTAATGTCTACCCCTTACTTCTTCTTTCCTTCTTCCTCCCTCTTCCTTCCTTTCTCTCATTCCCATCTGTTCCTTCTTTCCATCCTTCGTTCTTCCTTCCTCCCTCCCTCCCTTCCTTCCTCTCATTCCCATCTCCTTCTTCTTTCTTTCCTTCTTCCTCCCTTTCTCTCATTCCTATCTGTTCCTTCCTTCCTTTCATCCTTCATTCTTCCTTCTCCCTTCGTTCCTCCTTCCATCCGTCTTTCCTTGTCATCATTCCCATCTCCTTCCCTCCTTTATTCTTTCTCCTTCCTCCCTCCCTCTCTTCCTCCCTTTCTTTCATTCCCATCTGTTTCTTCCATCCTTTCTTCTTCCCCCTCCCTCCTCCTCTCTTCTTTCTTTCCTTCCTTCCTTCTCTCCTCCCTCTCAATCCATCTCCTTCCTCCTCTCTCCCGTTCTTTTTCCTCCTTTTCACCTTTCCATCCTTCCCTTCCTTCCTCTCATTCCCATCTCCTCCCTCCCTTCATTTTTCTTCCCCCTCCCTTTCCTTTCTTCCATCTTCCCTTCTTTCTTTTCTCCCTCCCTCCCTTCCTCCCTCCCTCCCTTTCTCTTATTCCCAGCTGTTCCTTCCATCCTTCCTCCTCCCTCCTCCCTTCTTTCCTTCCTCTCATTCCCATCTCTTTCTTCTTTCCTTCTTCCTCCTCCCTCCCTTTCTCTCATTCCCATCTGTTCCATCCTTCCTTCTTCCTCCTCCCTACCTTCTTCCTTCTTTCCTTCCTCTCATTCCTATCTGTTCCTTCCTTTCTTCCATCCTTCCTTCTTCCTCCTCCCTCCCTCCTTTTCTCTCATTCCCATCTGTTCCTTCCTTTCTTCCATCCATCCTTCCTTCTTCCTCCTCCCTCCCTCCTCCCTCCCTTCTTTCCTCTCATTCCCATCTCCTCCCTCCCTCCCTTCGTTTTTCCTCCTCCCTCCTTTCCTTCCTTCTATCTTCCCTTCCTTCCTTTCTCCCTCCCTTCTTCCTTTCCCCCTCCCTCCTTCTTTCCTTCTCTCCCTCTCCTTCCTCCCTTCCCTGTGGCCAAACACCTGCTTTTGCTCCCTTCCTGACCCCTGCCTCCTCTTCCTGCCCCAGGTGCGATCTCTCCATCGAGAAGTCAACGGTGCTGCAGTCGGAGCTGGAATCTTGCAAGGAGCTGCAGGCTTTGGAGCCGGAGAACAAGTGTAGGTTCGGGATCTCCTTCGCTCCCACACAACTCGGGTGGATCCCGAGAAGAGACCTCAGTAGCGGCCTCAAATGTTTTTTCCTAAGTTACTAGTCCTCAAGACTGTCCTGGCAGTCTGTAGAACTTGTCTAGAGGGTCACAAGAGCTGGTCCCGGGGACACCCCCCCCCCAGTCTTAATAAACATCCTTCAGGACTAGCAACTTGAAAGATACAGGTACTCCTCGACTTACAACCGTTCATTTGACGACCATTCTTGTTAAAATGACTCACCACCAGTCCTCGCACTTACAACCGTCACAACATCCCGGCGGTCTCCCCGTTAAAATTTGAGTGCGTTATTTATGACAATCGCAGCTCCCCGGAGTCACGTGACTGCCATTCGAGACCGTCCCAGCCGGTTTCCGACAAAGCAAAGTCGGGCGGTTCGTTTAACGACCGTGTGATTCACTGAACGACGTCGGGGATTCACGAGGCAAAAAAAGGTGGCAAAGCCAAGCGCGGCTCAAATAACCACTGCCTTCCTTTCCGTAACAATGGCAATCCTGTTCCCAGCGGCCGTCGTAAGTCGAGGACTACCGATAAAACAGATGATCACGGCTTGATGAAACCTGAATCTGTCCTTTTTTTTTTTTTTTTTTCCTCCTCAGGGTGTCTCCTAACCATCATCCTCCTCATGAGGGCTTTGGACCCCTTGGTTTACGAGCAAGAGACTCTCCGCTATTTTGCTGCCTTGAAGGTCAGCCCGGGAGAGACATATACCGAAATCTGGTGTGATTCACACTTTATTCGGAAGCTAATCTTGCGCATGTAGCATGCGACATTTTGCTTCAGCAGCTGGGGATTTTGGTCGCTGTCCTCCCAGCAGCGGTGGGTTTCACGGATTCTTACCACCGGTTCACTTCCATGTATGCACCCGTCCTTGAAAACGTGGCTACATCGGACATCTTTACGGCGAGGCGGATCGGCAGGGCAGGCAATCACCGTTAGCGGTTCCCCCGAACCGGCTCGAACCGGCCCGAACCGGCTGAATGCCACCTCTCCTTCCCAGTGCACCTGAAGAGGGTCAGGCTGTAAAAAAGCCACAATAAGCCAACCTTATCTCTGCGGGATGCCTTCTCGGGACGACAGCACCCCTGAGCATGTGCAGAGCTGTCCTACTTCCTTTAGCCAATCTTTCTTCTTCTTCTCACTCGTACATCCCTATAGGGGAATTACAGAAGGTCCCCGGTTTACAAATGAATTTGAGAAAACATCTCAAGATTTCTATTTTGTAAGATTCCGTATTCTCAGTGTTTTAATCCGACAACTTTAAGAAGGGTGGACTTCAACTCCCAGAACTCCCCAGCCGGCAAAGATTTACCAGAATTCAGCATGGATAAAAGAACAAATCATCCTTATCGACATTTTTTTGAATAGGGTAACTTTCTTAATAGAAAGTGGGAATGCGGTAAACATAATATATCTTGATTTCAGCAAAGTGAAGAAAATAGCCGGCCGGGGAATTCCTTGGAGTTGATGTTCACCTATCTTAAATCAAGCTGGCTGGGGAATTCTGGGACTTGAGGTCCACCCATCTTAAAAGCATGAAGTCCATCCATTTTAAAGCACAGTGGCTAGGGAATTCTGGGAGTTGAAGTCCCCCCTCCCATCTTAAAAGCGTGCTGGCTGAGGAATTCTGGGAGTTGAAGTCCACCCATTTTAAACCACATGGCTAGGGAATTCTGGGAGTTGAAGTCCCCCCTCCCATCTTAAAAGCGTGCTGGCTGAGGAATTCTGGGAGTTGAAGTCCACCCATTTTAAACCACATGGCTAAGGAATTCTGGGAGTTGAAGTCCCCCCTCCCATCTTAAAAGCGTGCTGGCTGAGGAATTCTGGGAGTTGAAGTCCACCCATTTTAAACCACATGGCTGAGGAATTCTGGGAGTTGAAGTCCCCCCCCCAATCTTAAAAGCGTGCTGGCTGAGGAATTCTGGGAGTTGAAGTCCACTCATTTTAAAGCACAGTGGCTAGGGAATTCTGGGAGTTGAAGTCTCCCCCCATCTTAAAAGCATGCTGGCTGAGGAATTCTGGGAGTTGAAGTCCCCCCCATCTTAAAAGCGTGCTGGCTGAGGAATTCTGGGACTTGAAGTCCACTCATTTTAAAGCACAGTGGCTAGGGAATTATGGGAGTTGAAGTCCACCCATTTTAAAGCACAGTGGCTGGGGAATTCTGGGAATTAAAAGTCCCCCCATTTTAAAGCAGAGTGGCTAGGGAATTCTGGGAGTTAAAGTCCACCCATCCTATAAGCATACTGGCTAGGGAATTCTGGGAGTTGAAGTTCATCTATTTTAAACTACAGTGGCTAGGGAATTCTGGGACTTATGGTCCACCCATCTTAAAAGCATGAAGTCCACCCATTTTAAAGCAGAGTGGCTGGGGAATTCTGGGAGTTGAAGCCCACCCCTCTTAAAAGTTGCCAAGGATGACAAACCCTGCCGTATCTTTATAATAAAATGCTCCACCTGGATATATTCACATGTCAAATTTAATTATGTAAATTTTAATTGGTTTTTTAAATGATTGGGGTTTTAATACATTTGGGCCAAATTTGTTTAATTCGATTTTACTTTGTTTTTAAATTTCGTATCTATGTATTTTTACTGTTTGGCTGTTCACCGCCCTGAGTCCTTCAGGAGTAGGGCGGTATATAAATTAATTAAATAAATAAATATAATAATAATAATAATAATAATAATAATAATAATAATAATAACCGAGCCAATGATGCTCTCGTATCCTCACTTCTGTCTTTCCTTCATCAGGCCGCAGACCCCATGCGCTCCTCGTACCTCGACGACCTCCGGAGCAAGTTTCTGATTGAGAACAGCGTCCTCAAAATGGAGTACGCCGATTCGCGCGTGGTGGACCTGTCCCAAAAGGTAGTTGGCCAGGGATGAGGGGGATGGAGGGTCCCTTCAGGTGGGCAGATCTAAGAACCAGGTGAGCAATCCAGAGAGCGTCCTCGGAAAACGGCGAGGAATGTGACCGCCTGATTAATTCTTGGGGTACCAAAAACAGAGGAGAGGTTACCTCTTCAAACTTTGTAAAGAGCCAGCCAGATGTTGAGATGGGATTCGGAATTTTTCTCCGCCTATCCAGTCGTTCCCAAGGACCTGAGATAGACAGATGTGGTTGTTTGATGGCGTTAAAATGCCTCGTTGTAGGATGTCAGCCCTTTCCAAGTCAAGCTGCCTTCCGCAATTGACCGATGGGGATTTTGTCAATGCCGACGGTGCTCCAGATACAAGTATTCCTTGATTTTTACGGCCGCAGCTGTCCCGAAATTTTAACATTGTTAAGCCAGACGGTTGTTAAGGGAGTTTTGTCCCGTTTTATGACCACTGCGGTGGTCGCAAGATTGTTCAGCGAATCTGCCTTTTCCGTGTCAGAAGGGTGCAGAACTTGATCACGTGACTCCGGGACACGGCAGGCGCCATCAATACACGCTAGTTCTCAGGCGTTTTGACTTTTGATCACGTGACTTAAGGAGTCACGGGATCAAATCTCCTTCATTCCATTCCATTCCTAACGGGGAGGGCAATTAACCAGTGGAACAGCTTGCCACCAGAAGTTGCGGGTGCTTCCTCATTAGGAGGTTTTTCAGAAGAGACTGGACAGCCATTTTTTTTTCTGAAATGGGATAGGATCTCCTGCTTGAGCAAGGGGCTGGACTAGAGGACCTCGAAGGCCCCTTCCAGCTCTATTCTAGTTCTGATTCTGACTTTGGGGATCGTTGTTTTCCACACGACGGCCGTCGGTGTGAAAAACGGCCGTAAGTCATTTCTTTTCAGTGCCGCTGCAATTTCAAAACCATCACTAAACAAATGGTCGTAATTCAAGGACTACCTTTATTCCTCACTTTTCGGCACACAATACACACCCAGAGAGAGACGGAGAGACAGACAGGTGTCAAACCCAGGACCCCTGTTTACAAAACTTGAGCTACAGATGTCACCCATCGTGGCAGCCACTTCCTCATTTTGTGGCTGCCAAGGAAATTGGTCCATAAGCTAAAGGTGTGCCAACTTCACTGCTTGAGCGGTGTTGGGAAATACGGAGGGTCCGGCCTGGAAAAAAAAAAACCGCCAATTTTTCTCCCTTGAGGGGAACCAGACTTAAGTTCTGCGGGGTGGAAAGTCAGTTTTTGGACTGGTTTGATGGGGGTTTTCGTGAAAAAAAAATCTCGTAATTGTGGAAGGAGAAACCGAAGGCTCTGGAGGTGTCATTAGCCTCATCCTGCGAATTGCATATTGATTTCCCGATGTTTTTTGTACATTTAGATGAACAAGAGTTCTGTAAATTTAGAATAACAGAGTTGGAAGGGACCTTGTAGGTCCGTGAGGCACGTGGAGCCATATCTGTGGGCACGCGAGCATTGCCCTAGCTCAGCTCCAACACACATGCGCATGCCGGCCAGCTGATTTTCGGGCTTTCCGGGCCCACTGGAAATCAGGAAACGGGCTGTTTCCGGCCTCCGGGGAGGTGGGGAAGGCCATTTTCGCCCTCCCCAGGCTCCTAGAAAGGCTCTGGAGCCTGGGGAGGGCGAAAAACGAGCCTTCCGGTCCCACCGGAAGTTGGGAAACAGCCCGTTTCCAGCCTCCTGGGAGGTGGGGAAGGCCGTTTTCGCCCTCCCCAGGCTCTAAGAAAGACTCTGGAGCCTGGGGAGGGCGAAAGCCTGGGGAGGGCCCACCGTGCCATCACATGCCAAAAGCGGGAGGAGCGCGGGGGGGTCACGCACGCATTTAATTATGGGCGTCGGCACGCGTGTGCGTGACCCCCCCCCCCCGTGCTCCCCCCTGGGTTTTGGCACGCGACGGCAAAATGTTAGCCATCACTGTTGTAGGTCATCTAGTCCAACCCCTCCCCCTCCCCACCGAGGCAGGAGACCCTACACCCAGTGGTGGGATTCAAATAATTTAACAACTGGTTCTCTGCCCTAATCACTGGCTGGGTGGGCGTGGCCATGGTGGGCGTGGCCAGGGGTGTGTGACAGGCAGTACTTGGCCTCCTGTATTTCCCCCCCCCCGGAGCAAAAACGAGCTTAGGGGGGAACCTCCACCCCCTGCGCCCCATTTTGGGCCTAGTAGGACTCTCTGCAGCCTCCTGGGAGCAAAAACGGGCCGCTGAGGGGCCGCGCCGCCCCCTGCGCCATTTTGGGCATAGTAGGCCTCCCTGTACTTACCTGGGAGCCAAAATGGGGCACGTGGGGACTCCGGGAAGGGGCAGAGCCAGTCAGCAATTTATCTACCGGTTCGCTTGAACCGGCCCAAACCGGCTGAATCCCACCACTGCCTACACCCTTTTCTGACATTTCTACACCATTTTTCTCCTAAGTTAAAACAGTCACTGGTCCTGGGTGCAAATCTCACGTCGGTTGCAATCCCAGGAAACCTCAGCCCTCATGCCATACAGGTAGTCTTCGACATACGACCGCGACGGAGCCCAATATTGCTAAGCGAGGCGGTTGTGAAGTGAATTCTGCCTCATTCCACGCCCTTTTCTTGCCACAGCTGTTAAGCCGATCGCCGCAGTTGTAAAGTGAGCAACACGGTTGTTAAGCGAATCCGGCATCCCCCGTTGACGTTGCTTGTCCGAAGGTCACAAAAGGGAATCGTGTGATCCCGGGGACGCTGCGACCGTCATAAATATGAACCGAGCGTCTGAAATTTTGATCACAGGAACCTGGGGGACGCTATAAGGCAGCAACTGTGGAAAAACGGTCGTACGTCACATTTTTCGGCGCCGCAGTGATTTTGAGCGGTCGCTAAACGGACTGTTGCAAGTCGAGGACTACCTGTATTCAAGAGAGCGAAGGAGGATTGGAAAAAGAGAGGTTTCGACTGCATCTGAGATTTTAAAAAGTGAAATATTAAAAATATGAAATATTGGTATTAAAAATATTTAAAAGCACTGCAAGAAACTGAAAGAAGCCACGATTGACAGGCGAGTAGATTTACCTGCCTATAAAGTCAGGTAAAGAGTTAAAATAACAGTAAGAAATTCTGATTATTATTTATTTTTTGCTTTCCTTAGGGCCTGACGAACCTCTGCCACCTCGAACACCTGTTGCTGGTCACGCACCTGAATCTCTCCGACAACCTTCTCTCGGCCTTCCCCCCCACACTGGCCATGATGCTTTGCCTCGAGGTAAGGTCACTCCCCCTCCCTCACTCCCCTCACCCTCTTTCGGAGCTCGGCTTCTCCAACCTGGTGCCCGCCCCCTCCGAAGAGAGCCCTGAAACCATCAGCCACAGCTTTGCATTCTGGGCTGAGCACAGGTTCTCCTCGGGTGGTCGGATTTGGCCCGCGATGTGGCCGAATTTGGACCGCGGGGCCAAATTCACCTTCCGATGAGCAGAGTCAATGGGGAAGTTGGATTTGCGTGATTCACTTAACAACGGGGGGAAAGCCATCAAGTTGGGCGTGACTCATTGTATGACCATCTTGTTCAGCGATGGAAATTCTGGTCCCTGTTGTAAGGGGAGGACTACCTGTAGTGAATGAGCTGTACAGGCAGTCCTCAACTTAGGACCGCAACGGTGCCCACAAATTCTGTTGCTCAGCGAGACCGTTGTCAAGTGCATTTTGCCCTGTTTTACGACCTTCCTTACCACCGTTGTTAAGTGAATCACTGCCGTTGTTAAGTTACTAGCTTGTTTATGAAGCGAATCTGGCTTCCCCCTTGACTTTGCTTGACCACGGGACCCCTTTTGCAACCGTCATAAGTCCGTGCCAGTTGCCGAGCGTCTGAATTTTGATCACGTGACTGCAGAGATGCCACAACGGTCATAAACGGTCCCGGTCACTTTTTTCCCGGCCGCGGCAACCCCGAACGGTCACTAAATGGACGATCATAAGTGAAGGACTCCCCGTATCTCCCATTCTCCGCTTTTTTCCTCCCCAGGTGATGGAAGTCGACGACAACCAGATCGAGAGCCTGGAAGGGCTGCCCCCTCTGCCTTCTCTGGAGGAACTGTCACTCCGTAACAACCGTATCCTTGCGTCGCAGGACGAGGCCGGTTCCTGAATGGAGCTGGGGAGATTGACAGGCGGTGGGGGGTGGGGTATCGCTGACCAAAGCCCTCCTTAACTCGTTTTGCGTCCATCAAGGCATCCAGCGAGCCTCCGCCCTCAGAAGCCTGGCCGCCTTCCCCGCCTTGGCTCAGCTCAACCTGCAAGGAAACCCCCTGTGCCAAATCCCAGGCGCCCAATCAGAGCTGGCCACGCTGCTCCCGAACGTGACCACCATCTTGACTTGATTTCCTGACGTGCGGAGAAAGGAGAGTGACAGCACCGGAGACCCTTAATTTATTGCCAATTAAAATCATCCCAATCAGAGGCTTTGTGGTGTGAGTTTCTTTATTTATTTGCATCCCTTCTTTATTATTATTTTATTATTATTATTATTTTAAGGCAACCGATAATTCCAGACCCACTTTCTTCGTCCTGTGTTCCCCACAACAACAACAACCCTGTGAGGTAGGCTGGGATGAGAGAGACCGATCCGACCAAAGTCACCCAATTGGCTTTCATGTTTAAGGCGGGACTAGAACTCACCATCTCCTGGTGATTGGCCCAAAGTCACCCAGCTGGATTTCATGCCTAAGGCGGGACTAGAACTCTGTCTCCTGGTGATTGGCTCAAAGTCACCCAGCTGGCTTTCATGCCTGAGGTGAGACTAGAACTCCCAGTCTCCTGGTGATTGGCCCAAAGTCACCCAGCTGGCTTTCATGCCTGAGGCGAGACTAGAACTCACCGTCTCCTGGTGATTGGCCCAAAGTCACCCAGCTGGCTTTCATGTCTAAGGCGGGACAAGAACTCCCAGTCTCCTCGTGATTGGCCCAAAGTCACCCAGCTGGCTTTCATGTCTAAGGCGGGACTAGAACTCCCACTCTCTTCGATTGGCCCAAAGTCACCCAGCTGGCTTTCATGCCTAAGGCGGGACTAGAACTCCCAGTCTCCTGGTGATTGGCCCAAAGTCACCAGCTGGCTTTCATGTCTAAGGCGGGACTAGAACTCCCACTCTCTTCGATTGGCCCAAAGTCACCCAGCTGGCTTTCATGCCTGAGGCGGGACTAGAACTCTCCGTCTCCTGGTGATTGGCCCAAAGTCACCCAACTGGCTTCCTGAGACGGGACTAGAACTCCCAGTCTCCTGGTGATTGGCCCACCCAGCCAGTTTTTGTTCTTAAGGTGAGACTAGAACCCTCCGTCTCCTGGGGATTACGACTAGTCCCTTTAACGACTGTTCAAAGTTACGACACACCTTCCCAGGGGTACTTCAGTCAATCAATCTAAATAGAGCGGGAAGGGACCTTGGAGGTCTTCTAGTCCAACCCCGTGCTCAAGCAGGAGACCCTAGACCATTTGAGACGAGTGACTGTCCAATCTCTTCTTGAAAACCTCCAGTGTTCGAGCACCCACAATTTCTGGTGGCAAGCTGTTCCACAGGTGAATTGTCCTCACTGTTAGGAAGTTTCTCCTTAATTCCAGGTTGCTTCTCTCCTCGATTAGTTTCCATCCGTTGTTTCTTGTCCTGCCTTCAGGAGCTTTGGAGAATAGTTTGACCCCCCCTCTTCTTTGGGGCAGCCCCTCAAATGCTGGACTACTGCTATCAGGTCACCCCTAATTTGTCTTTTCTTTAGACTAGCCAGACCCCAAAATCTGCAGCCGTTCTTCATATGTTTTAGTCTCCAATCCTTTAATCCTCTTAGTTGCTCTTCTCTGCACTTTTTCCAAAGTCTCAACATCTTTTTTTGTAACGTGGTGACCAAAATTAGTTGCAGGATTCCAGGTGTGGCCTTACTAAGGCTTTACAAAGCGGTACTGATACTTCACCTGATTTTGATTCTACGCCTCTGTTGATCCAACCCAGGATCGTATTCGCTTTTTTGGCTGCTGCCGCAAACGGCCGTCTCATAACTTAAGAACCCACTTCTGAAGTTACGACGAGCGCCCCGTCTCCACCGCAGTCACCTGACTGCATTTTGACGCTCGGTAACCATGGACTGCATTTTCCAATATTTGGGCTGAAAACCAGCAACTTACTGGTCGCGGTGATTCTCTTTACGGCCGTCGTGACTTTAAACAACCATAATGTACAACTTGCAATGTTTGTTTGTTTGTTTGTTTGTTTTATTAAATTTATATACCGCCCTACTCCCGAAGGACTCAGGGCGGTAAACAGGCACAAAATAAAATACATAAATACAAAAGTTAGAAACATAATTAAAACCAAATTAAATAATTTAGCCCAAGACAATTAAAAATCCCAATAATTTAAAACCAATTAAAATTTCAATTTAAAAATTTAAAAGAAAGGGGAGAAAATTAGGCCAGGCCGGCTTGCTGGAATAGGAAGGTCTTAAGAGCATGGCAGAAAGTGCGCAGATCCGGGATCCTCCGTATCTCCGGGGGGAGCTCATTCCAGATAGTAGGTGCCCCCACAGAGAAGGCCCTCCCCCTGGGGGCCGCCAGTCGACATTGGCTGACAGCACCCGAGGAACCCCCCTCTATGAGAGCGTACCGGCTGGTGGGAGGCTGTTTGTGGTAGTAGGCGGTCCCGTAAATAACTAGGTCTTAAGCCATGGAGCGCTCTAAAGGTGGTGACCAAAACCTTGAAGCGCACCCGGAAGACCACCGGGAGCCAGTGCAGCTCGCGCAGGAGAGGTGTCACACGGGAGCGCCATGTTGCTCCCATAACCACCCGCGCGGCCACACTCTGTGCCAGTTGGAGCCTCTGGGTGCTCCTCAAGGGGAGCCCCATGTAGAGAGCGTTACAATAGTCCAGGCGGGAGGTGACGAGGGCATGAGTGACTGTGTGTAGGGAGTCCCGATCCAGAAAGGGACGCAACTGGCGGATCAGGCGAACCTGATGAAAAATCCTCCCGGTCATGGTCGTCAAGTGCTCTTCTAAAGACAGCCGTGAATCCAGGAGGACGTCCAAGTTGCGAGCCCTCTCCGTGGGGGCCAGCGATTCGCCCCCAATAGTCAGCGATGGCGTCAACTGACTATATCGGGACGTCAGAAACCACAGCCACTCGGTCTTGGATGGGTTGAGTTGTACTCCTTGGAACCCTGACACAGGCTCCATTCAATTAAGGGTTTCCCGTTCGTCGCAGCGCTAAATAGCCTTCGCTGTTTTCTCCCTTCCATCTCTAAAATGTGAATTATTATGGATTATTCCGGGCCCCTTGGTGTTGCGCACAAGTACACACTCGTACAGGTACAAAGCAATCCGTTAATGTGGCAAAGCATGACGTTAATTCTCGGGGGAAGCGTGTGTGAGCCTGTGAGGGGAAAAAAAACCGGGAACGCCTCTTCGTCCCCCTGAACTATTTATAGTCAGAAGTCACGAAACCTTCGGCTTCTTCAGGCTGGTTTTTATTCGCCTTTTTTTTTTTTTCCTAAATCCGGGGGGGTGGGGTGTCCAACCTTGGCAACTTTTAAAGACCTGTGGACTTCAACTCCCAGAATTCCCCCAACCGAAGCCACCCCCGCGAAGCGTTAATACCGCTTTATAAGGCCACACTTGGAATATTGCATCCAGTTTTGGTTGCCACGATATTAAAAAAAAGACGTTGAGACGCTGGAAAGAGTGCAGAGAAGAGCAACAAAGAGGATGAGGGGACTGGAGGATAAAATTATATGAGGAACAGTTGCAGGAATTGGGTACGTCTAATTCAAGGGTCGGCAACCTTAAATACTCAAAAAGAGCCATTTGGATCTGTTTCCCTCAGAAAAGAAAACACCGGGAGCCACAAAACCTGGGTGGGCGTGGCCAACTCGATGTCACTCACTTCCACCAGTCACATGACACCCCCCCCCTAGCCATGCCTACCCAGCCGGTCATTAGGGCAGAGAACCATCTGTTAAAAAACACCGGGAACCACAAAATCCTTTTGACATCTCTCTCCCTCCCTCCCTCCCTCCCTCTCTCTCTGTATCTCTCTCTGTCTCTCTCTCTCTCTCCCCCTCTCTGTATCTCTCTCTATATATATATCTCTCCCTCTCTCTCTCTCTCTCTATATATATATATATATCTCCCTCTCTCTCTGTATCTCTCTGTCTCTCTTTCCCTCTCTGTATCTCTCTCTCTCTCTCCCTCTCTCTCTCTGTATCTATGTCTCTCTCTCTCTTCCCCTCTCTGTATCTCTATATATATCTCTCTCCCTCTCTCTCTCTCTCTCTATATATATATATATCCCTCTCTCTCTGTATCTCTGTCTCTCTCTCTCTTCCCCTCTCTGTATCTCTCTCTATATCTCTCCTCCTCTCTCTATATCTCTCTATATATCTCTCTCTCCCTCTCTCTCTGTATCTCTCTATGTCTCTCTCTCCCCCTCTCTGTATCTCTCTATGTCTCTCTCTCTCCCTCTCTTTATCTATCTCTTTCTCTCTCCCTCTCTCTCTGTATCTCTGTCTCTCTCTCTCCCTCTCTCTGTATCTCTCTATGTCTCTCTCTCTCCCCCTCTCTCTGTATCTCTCTGTCTCTGCCCTGGCCGCTTCTCCATCCATCACCATCACCCTTACCTTCTCAGGCCAGGTGAGGAGTGACTGGGAGGGGAGGGCGAGGGGTGGGGCCAGCCAGTGGTGGGATCACCTGACAGGGAGCCACAGCAGAGGGCCCAAAGAACCGCATGCGGCTCCGGAGCCGCAGGTTGCTGACCCCCGGTCTAATTTAATGAAAAGAAGGACCAGGGATGATATGATGACATCTTCCAATATTTGAGGGGCTGCCCCAAAGAAGAGGGGGTCTACCTATTCTCCAAAGCACCCGAAGGCAGGACAAGAAACAATGGGTGGAAACTAACCAAGGAGAGAAGCAACCTGGAATTAAAGAGGAAATTTTCTGACAGAACAATTAACCAGTGGAACTGCTTGCCACCAGACGTTGTGAATGCGACAGGTTTTTAAGAAGAGATTGGATTTGTCTGAAATGGTATCGGGGGTCTCCTATACTTGAGGGGGTTGGACTAGAAGACCTCTTGAGGCCCCTTCCAACGCTGTTATTTTATTAGTCTAACAAAGAGAAGGACTAGGGGAGATATGATAGCAGGGTTCCAATATCTCAGGGGCTGCCCCAAAGGAGAGGGAGTCAAGCTATTCTCCAAAGCCCCTGAAGGTAGGACAAGAAGCAACGGGTGGAAACTAACCAAGGAGAGAAGCAACCTAGAACTGAGGACAAATTTCCTGGCAGAAGAATAATTCACCCGTGGAACGACTTGCCACCAGAAGTTGTGAATGCTCTTATCGCGGGAGGGTTTTTTAAAGAAGAGATTGGACAACCGTTTTATCTCCAATGGGGTAGGAACTCCTGCTCGAGCAGGAGGTTGGACT